CTCGCTGGGCAACCCCGGGTCTAACCGGGACCCTGGCGTGGCAGAAGAAGGGTCCCTTTTCTCCCGCTACTACCTCGCCACGGGTGGGATTCCTGGTCACACCGAGCAACCAGGGCCGGCTCCCTCCCAAGGCAAAGCCCTGTGGCAGGAAGCACCAAAACTGTGCAGAATAAAGAAGAATAAAGACTCTCCGAGCAGGCTCAAGACCTTTCGAGTAAGCACTATAAATATCTTCCTTTAATTATAATAAAAGATAGTTAGAAACAACAGAAGCAAAAAAAAAAACCCCACAAACACCCAATCCAAAACAACCCCCACCAATACCCATCAACCAACCAACCAACAATAAAGGCTTAAATCATGTTGCCCTTCCATGCACTTCACTGCCTAAACAGGTGATCGAGTCAGCGCTTAACTTTGGTCCCCATTGCTCAGAGTTAACAAAGCCAGACCTGGCTTGCTTTTTTTCTTTCTTTCTTTTTTTTTTACTTCAAGCTACAGTAGCTGCTTCAAGAAAAAAAAAAAAGGCATCTTCAAATTACTCAGCACTACACTATGAAAGGAAAATGCTGCTTTGGGGAAGGGTGGTAGATTTTTTTTTGTTGTAAATTAATGTTTCACTCAGAGGTTGCTGTCCAGAATTATCTGATTTGTGTATTTTATAATATAACACCACACCCTTGTCCCGAGCTGCATGTAAGTAGCTTGGCTTTTGTTTTCAAATTGTTTCTAGCCCTCCAGCACTGGAAGAAAGTCTTTAAAATATTAACCAATACAACTGTCATCTTCCTGTGTTTCCAGACATTTTACAATAGGAAACAAAGAACAAAACCCTACAACAATAGCTCAGAGGTATGAATTGCCTCATTCATCTCACTGGAATGTTCAAAAACATTAACTATTTTTTGACTGATTCAGCAGAAAGCATGCTGCCAGATAATAAGCTCGTGTCTGATCCAGGGGAGATTCAGGGACTGAGAAAGGTTTTATTTTTCAGCACAGCAACGTAGCACCTTTCCTGAAAGGAAGCAGATACTCCTGTTGATGGAAAAGGCTGCATGAGGGAAGAAATTCTGACATGGTTTGAAGGGAGCTACTGCCTTCCTTTCTCTGAACTAGCAAATGGCTTATCTCACGCCTGATCCTTAATCCACAAAGGCCCAGGAGGGTGGTAGATGCTGGAAAAAACTCTCATGTCATTGCAATAAATCAATTAGCACCCACTCAAACACACCATGAACAGTCTTTTGGATTTGAACAGCAAAGGCCCAGAACTTGAGCGTGGGGTGTTTCAATCTCTAGTTTAACGTTCTTAGAGCAGGAAAGGCAAGGTCAGCACCATAGACTGAACTTCTATTGAGTCGATGCCATCATTAAAACAAAGTTTGTTCAAACCCCCGTTAACACATGTTAGTGCTCCAGCCAGGGAGAAAACAGATGGCTTGGCCATCGCTCGACCCTGTCCTCCCATCAGGAATGGTGGGAATGGGAATGAATCGCAGCTTCCAGCACTGGTGTCTCATTTCCAAGACCAAGAGGTCAGGACAGAAGTGCGTCACACCACAGCCACGCTGGCCCTGTCCTCAGGCGTACTCGCCGCCCAAGGCAGACAGAGCCAGCACCAGGCACCCAGGCTCTCCCAGGTCATTGCTGTGCAACTGACCATCCACAGTAACCACAAACACACCTAAAAATTGAACAAAAGGTAAAAGTCTTAACAGCAGTGGAATCGTTCAACAATAGATTACCGAATTCTTCAACTTGCGGAGTATTAACATCACAGGGTTACAGAAAAGGGCCATATCAATAATAAGAGTGTAGTGCTTGATGACAGAATATTTGTATGTTAATAGAGAACAAAACTAAATTAATTATTTTTATCCCCCCACCCAGTGCTGGAATTCTTGAAGAGTTCAGTAGCAAGTGCCACCCTCACACTTCCAGTTAGCCAGGTGGCATACATCTTAAATAAAGGCTACATCAGACAACTGAAGATTTTTTTTTTTAATAGAACCTTTGATCTTTACTTCTTAAATAAATAGAAAACATCGATTTAGCAAAAAAACCCCAAACAACACAAACTCCCCACAAAAGTTTTAAAAGTGCTAGTTTTTCCAATTTCCTTCCCGAGATTTCATGACACAGAGCTACATGTGCTATTTTGGCTGAATCCAAAATAATTTTAGTCAAAGTAAAGCCACGGTTATACTTCCCTTCCCACCAGACACAACCTCCCAACACAGTAATCAAACCATTTCAGCAAATATCTAGAAATTAGTGCTTTAGCTTTGTTACTCCTGCTCTGCCACAACACGGTGTCCACGGCTGAGAGTTGGCAAATACATAAAAAGTCATTGATTTAAAAAAAGTCAGACATTTAAATAAGCATCATTGTTAAAAGTACATTAAGAGTACATCTTCGGCTCAAGTTTATTTACCTTTTAGGTACTTTAAAATCATGCCTAACTGTAAACAAAAGTGCACATACTTCAAGGCTGATCAGCACTCACTCAACCAGGCATTTAGAGGTGGTTGTGCCCAACCCAGGGCAAAAGCTCAGTCCTGCAAGTTTTACATTGCTACAGCACAGAGCAACCTCTTCACAGACCCCTTCGTCCTTGGTTTCCTGTCATCTTCTACAGAGAGGTCCCTCCCCGATTTGAAAGGGTGGTTGCGAACCATGTCTCGGTGGATGTTCAGAACAACTTTGGCAACTGCCTGAGTTGCTTCACGTCAAGAATGGTGCCAACAGAATTCATGCTGTTCGACTGGTTTAGTGTTTCAAGGGCTGGGGGATGCAGATTTCCAGCACAGACCTGAGCATCTCCTTCATCTTTCCTGCCAGGCTGTTCCGTGAATTCAACCCTCCCAGGTAACAATTTGGGTTTTGTTTTTAAATCCTTTAAAATCTGAACTGAGTTTTCATCTGCTTGATCTGCTCTGGGAGGAAAGAAATCATTTGTAATATTTCTTAATACAGGGCTGCTTAATTCTGGTGGAGAAGCAGTAGGAGTCAACTCTCTGCTGTGACTTTTTAGATGAATGGGAAGTCTTCCATCAATTCTTTCGGATAATTCAGTCCAGTGGTTGAAGCCATCCCACACAGGGGTACAGGTTTTGTTCCACCTGCTTTGACTTTTGACAGTGGCAGAACTGTCATCTTGAACCTGCACTTCCTCTTCGTCTTCACTACTGTCATTGCCCTGTATCAGCCCATATCGCTTCATGTACTTCTTGGTTGCAAAAGACATATTGTTTGGTGAAATTAAGCTAAGGCCCACCATGCTTTTATCCATATTTTTGTGCAAGATGTCTTGGAAAGAGAAATCTGCAGGAGGATTTTGGCCTGAGCGACTGAGAGAAAGTTGAGATAACTGATTTTCACTGAGATACTTGAGGGCTATAGCATTTGCTTCCATGCTCAAATCAGCAACATTAGGAGTTAAGCCACACACGCTGACATTGGCAAATGACATATAATTTAGTCCAGGCACCACTGCTTCAGGATTTATGCGCGCTAAGATGCTGAAATAAACCATCAAAAAGTTAGTTTAGCATTACAGAAGTATGCATTTCACAATCTCATCTGATAATTTCATTTGGCTTGCCTGAAAAGCACAGCTCAGTCAGGCTGCTCAGGACCGACACCCCACGTTCTGCACAGGCTAAAGCAGCTTTCCAGCTACTCACACCAAGAGCAGCCAAACACCGTGTTAAAGAATGGATGAGAGTTCCTCCTAATTCAATACTAACCACAACCCTTGTACGAAGGACCCACCTCTAGGAGGTTTCAGAGCTGGGTTTGTTTTTAAAGGAGCTTTGAGCTCCTGTTCTGTTCTCACCAGTAAATGTCACATTATGTGTCTCTGATCCTAAGACTCTAGATGGTGTCATCCAACCCAAGATTTAAATCTAGATAGAAAATAAAAGCCCAATGACAAACCATGAGTAACTCTTCTTTCCCAATGCATGCTAATACCAGGATTTTTACAGAAACTGACATAGTATCTGTTTCCAGAACCCTGTAAGGTTCTAGTTTTTGAGGGCATTCTTCAGGAAGGGAAATACTCATTCATTCTGTTGCTTGGCACACCAATTTCTCGTATACATTAGGTGTTTAGCTTAAAGACTGAAAGAAACTCTGGCACGCTGGCAGTGGTCATAAAGCAGTGCATTTAGCACATGCATCATATATTAGCTCATAAACCCAAACTCCTCATGCTTAGAGTCTTCCTATTCCACTGAGTACGCATTCTAAAGTTTGTTTAGGGAGAGTAAACTCCTGGCTCAGATGAACAGATGAGCTGCACAGTTGCTCCCTCCCCTGCTGAGCTGTAGACCTTTTCTCAGAGTTGTTTATCAGTTGTGAAAGTGGCAGAAGGAAGAATCCCGCCCCGCTCCCCAAGTTTGAAGGAAAAAAAACCCCAAGAATCCCAGTGTTGTCTTATGGGTTCACTTTTTAGTCTGTTATTGACATTAAAAGAACACTGACAGAATCTCCAGTCAGGTAGGTAGCCCAGAAATTCCAGGAAAATGCCTGATGAAATTCAAGTGAAGGAGAGAGACCAGACAGACCCAGTTTTGATTATACATCAAAGCCATGATGACAATTACACTTATACTGGTGAAATGCAAGGAAAGGGTTAAGAAGCAGTGAGAAAATATGTAGCTGCTTAACGTTCAGCCTCCCAAGTCCAATGTTTCTCTGGAATACCTTGACATAGCCCAAAGGATTGAAATTATTCAAGACGCTTCATTATTATCCTAGGGAATTGTGTGCTACTGCATGCACAATACTTTAAGAATCGCCAGATGCTCTAACAGCTAGAGCTACTTGTGTCATATTTAAATAATCTGAGTTTTGCTAGCAGAGCTCTTAAACCTAAAATACCCATAGTATGAGCCAGTTTTTCATCTTTGCAGGAAATGTGGATCAAGTTGCTGAACAAATCCCCACTGGCAGTGAACACAGTCCCTTCCTCTTTGCTCACTGAGCCCATATTAATTTTTGGTTAGATCTACAAATTACTACTCAAAAGCAACCAGCATTTTACCTGGCACTCTCCACTTTGTGGGTATTTTTCTTCATTTTGCCAGGTGAGTCAATTTTGACTCCAAGACTTTTCAGTTGTTTGAGTGTAGCACTAATCACACTCTCTTTATCCATCACATCCGGGCCAGTTTCTGAAGCCATTTCTGTTGTATCATCAATATCTTGATATTTAGGACCATCATCACTAACAAATCCTGATTTTACAGGATCTTCCGAGGACTTTAAGAGGTGGTTTACTTGGCCCTACAGAAAAAGGGAGCAGAGAAGAGACCACATGGACAAAAATATCATGATATGCAGGAGTTTTTAAAACCTCAAATCCTGGTTTACTCTTATGCAACTTAGAATACAACTATTCTAACAAAGAAGCCAAATTTGGATTCAGTTCAAATAAGCAAATAAACAAATATTTACTAGTACTCCGTGTATGCATGAGAAAGCAAAGCACAGAATAATTACTTAAACTTTAAAAAACAAAACAAAAATAACCCCACAAACTTGACACTTTTCTGTAGAGCATAACACATAAACTTGAAAACTGCACACAATTTTCATTCGTGCCAGTACTACACTGTAACTTCAGCAGTGTGCCATTTTGACTGTCGCGTTCAGTGCAGAATATTAACTTTAAATGAATTACCAGTAAGTCCTGGTAAAGCTTTTGATCTTCTGATGGATGCCGAGGCAGAAACGAGGCGGGTGGCTCTGAGTTTTGCTCACTTGTTGCCACCACAGGGTTGCTGGCTCCCTCTGTTGGTTCCTTCTGTGAGGACACGCTGATACTTTCTTCCAAGGATGAACTGTGAACAAGCATTTGGGAAGTGTTTCCATTTCTGAAAAAGAGCAGAGAGTTAGGTATTTCCTTGAAACAGAAAGCACAAGTATCAGTACAGGTACTTTACATTTTCATGAGAGGAGATGAATCGAGTACTGGAAACAGATGCTAACATTTCTCAGTTTGTCTTCTGCTTGGGGCTTTGCTTCCTTCTGCAGTCACTTCCTTTCAAGTCATTTGAAGACGAAAGAAAAACACCCTGTAGTGCAAAACTACAGCAGTCTGTTTTTAAAAACGATGATTTGACAATGACAACAGCTTCTTTGGACTAGCCAAAACTCAATGACACTCTATGACTTAACCTTAAAGCAGACAAAATTAGTCATTAACAATTTTGAATTTGTCTGTTTTCAGCATTTTTACAGACACTTAAAAGCCTTTAGGAGTAAGTATCTTGCATATGCTCTGAAACATGACTTATTCAAAAAGCTATTTTTACCAAGGTGAGCAATGGCTGAAGAGATTCCTGTGGCAGCTTAAAAATGCTTTAAAAACTTCTCAAAGACACTGTTACAAGTATGCATATACACAATGCACACTGAGTGTCAGGAACTGAGAACAAACACCTAGCTGAAATATTTCTCAGCAGCAGATGTGAAAGAAGGACCATAATCACAGAATCACAGAATGTTAGGGGTTGGAAGGGACCTCTGAAGATCATCTAGTCCAAACTTCTCTCCTGAAGTTTCCAGATAAAAGGGGTAAATATTCTAGAACAGGTTACAACATGATGCTCAGCATCCCCTTCAGCCAGCTGGTGTGTGCACCGCCTAAACTTTGAGATCAGACGTATCAATAATAGTATCAACCCGAGGAGATCCTTAAGCAGCCCTCCTCCCCCTTCCTGCTCCTCCTCAGGAGACAAGTGCAAGATAAGGGAATTTCAGAACTCAGCTGATCAATTGCCTGTGTTGAAAGCGATAAGATTTAAATCACGTGACATACCAGATAGTCAATGTAGGTTATCGGTTACTGTTATACCAGCAATTATTCATCAGTCCCAAAAATGCTCCACTCCTCCTCTAAGAAATCTGGGCGGTGCTCCCCACTCATACTGTAAGATACTTATACAGCTATTTTACAGCTTTATGAATTTAAGTTGAAGAGAACCTTAGGACAGCATCTCTCTAAAATACAATGCTCAAAAACCTGATTTGAATCAGTAACATTTATGGCAGCAGTATGTTTGCAGATAACACTTTAATAAAGGACTATGAATATTTAAGTTATAGCTTAATTATAATAATCTTTCCAAATATGATTATTTTAGAAACCTAATATAACTGGAAGGGTATTCCCCCTCCTTTGGCTTTTATACTTAGAGAATATTAGATCATTAAAAGTGCTAAATTGTTGAGCTATTCCTTCTATAAAAATAACATTCATATAGATACTTTATTTTTAAAAATCACTGCCCAAATCAGTCTGACACTAGCCACTGCAGAGCAGGAATTTAAAAATAATTAAATTAACAACAGTGGAGTTGGTACCTGCATTCACTACACAAAGCAGGTGTAAAATGTCAAGAAATCCATAGAACAGTTGTATAATCATAAACACCCCATCCTAAGCTCCCCTGAATTAAAATCATTCTGAATGCTGACAGGGAAAAGCTGCTGTAGGAAAACAACAGACTACAGCAGTATCGCGTACCTACCCCATGTCCCCTCAGGATTTAAGGTAAGAAAGGGAATGTTGCCAGCCCCAAACGTGCTTTTCCAAGCTAAAGGCTTTTGCCATCAGCTCCCGCTGACAGGAAGGCTACCTCAGCGTGCAGGACTGATAAAGGCAGACTCTAAATGCAGCTGTGTTTTGGTGAGCTGTACACTTAGAAGCATAATTTAAAAATGAAGAAGGGAAACAATACAACAACTGAAGTCAGGTGACTAGAATTCCCCAAAAATACAATTATGAAAGTAGTAACTTATGAAAGGCAGTTCAGCTTATTTATGCTAACCCAAGGTAATTCTGGTTACTTACTGGAGAGTGTTCTGATTAGTTCCTCCTTCCACAAGATGAATACTGTCCACAAAGCTGGGGATGTCAACCACCTTTAAGGATGAGGCAATACTTGTATTACTTGCATCTTGTTCAGCATTAATTGAAATGCTGATGTCTTCCTTAGAAATATCTTCATCCTCTTTTTTAACTTGGGGTATGGACTCGTCTTGTTTTTCTGAGGCCGTATTCCAAAATAAGCTAGCACCTAGAAGAGAATTAGAGACTTATTCATATAAGGGAACTCATTACTATCTTCTGAGATCCTTTGGCTTTGTAAAGCTAGAGGAATTATTTCTTCATGTTCAGTTTTTTTCACCATTTTAAAAGTTATTTAGGGTTTAGAACAGCTAAGAGTTGCCAAAACATCATTCAGTTCTGAGTTTCTACAAAGCATACTTGACAAAAATAAACTGTTGTATTGAAGCATTTTATAAGTTGACCTTGAGCCAGTTTGAAAATTTCTTCCAAACCACAATATTTCCAAGGATTTAACAGGAACCAATATATTACTATGTAACTTTAGTCACAGTCTAATAACTTGCTAAAATTAAAGCAAATACAGTATCCTCTCCATGCACATAAAAGCATGACTTATAAAAAACATCAGTAAGATATTTATTGGAACACCAGATGGGATAGAAGCTATTGCTTCTATTGGGGATTTTTTTTCTTTTAGTAAGGTAAAATTTTAAATAGAAAACCCTGCTAAAGCTAGTGGAAAAATAACTCTTCCAGTGATGGCAGTCACTGCCTTTGCAGCCCAAAGACAAAAGTAGCTCCAGCATAAACTTGCTACAGAATGTAACTGGCTTTTGTGTCTAGGTGCACATCTGTGTATGCTCAGCGTGTCTGCAAAACATTCCCTCCGTGCTCAAACAAATCACAGAAGCATCCAGACAAAGCGATGCCAGGCTATTTGTAAAGACCAAAGTGTTACCTGTGCTCACAGCAACGCTCACACTTTTCCTTTGGGTTTCCATAGAAACAAGGTCCCCTTGCTTCTCAGGCTGCAGAGCGTGGCTGGCTCCAGCTGGTTCCGGGGAACAAGCCTGCCGAGCCTGCGCTTCCAGCAAGCGCTGGATCTGTAACGGTTATCAGAAAGTTATAACTTGTACGACAAAGTAGAATAGGCAACATGAATTACTAAATTGGGTTCCTTTAAGACCTGGATTCGAATCCAGGCAGCGCTGCCACAGAAGTCTGATAATGTTCCAGTTCTCAGCAGGGCACGCAGCATAAATCAAAACATCAATTTCGACGTTGGCAGAGCTTGCAAAGAAGAGGTTTTGAGCACATTGGCAGAACTACACCAAGATGCCTTGAGTAAAGCCTATTTGCACGACACTTGCTGGAAGTATTCTCTGTCCCTTTCATTCACATACAAAACCTATTACTGGCATATAAATGCTTGGCTGGCAAGTCAACTGTCCCTAGACCATGCTAAACTAACCTTGTATTTATTACAAAGCTAAGCACTTAAATGGTAAAATTAAGGTTGCCCAGGCAATCTTCACTCTAGTATTTGCATCCACTCTGTTCACTGATTAGTTCACAGCTCCATGGAGAAATATCAGAGTGGTGAAGGCAACATTTATACAATAAGGAGCGGTTTCCCTCTCTCATGCACAAATCACACTTGCAGAGCTTCATTTTATGTACAGCAACTACATCTAACGCACATTGCTGCTGCAATTTTCTCATTTTAAGCAAGAAAAACATGTATCGTGAGCAACTTCCCTATTCGCATCATTCATCACCCGCAGCAAAATTTAAACTCTTGCTCTCCAGCCCCACATCATACCCTGCAAAATACAGGGCCGACAGTGTAACTCAAGAGTTTGGTTTTTTGAAAAAACATGCCCAGAAACTTAACCTGGTATCGAAACAGAGCTTGGAGAGACCAGCAAAGCCCAATTTTTCAGCACAGTGACAAACACCTGGTGAATCCTGCTGGTCTGTTGCAAACAGACAACTGAAGTTTGCTAAGGAACATCCTCAACAGCCCAGGAAACTGCAGGCTTGAAGGCAGGCAAAATGAGTGTTGTGTGCTTCACTTGTGCTTACAATACCTCCAAAGTCTAAAAATCTTTAGCCCATGCAGTACTTTTTTTTTTTTTTTTAGACAGCATACAGATAGGAAAGCATTCATGATATAAATACATTATGAAAGCAATCTGCTAAAAGGGAAACCATCATGTTATGCAAATATAAAAAAAAATGCAAAATCAAATCAGGAGTCAAATAGTTTTCATTTGTTTTAAGGGTCATCAATTAGCAGAGCTAATCAGGACCCTCCTGCACTCGGTATGACAGTCTCTTGTTCCAACAAGGATAGACAGGAGTTAATTCCTCTAGCAGGGGAACTATCAAAGTGTAATCACTAAGAGGGCAGAGGATAGAGCTGCCATTTCCACAAACCTGAGCTTGAAGTAATTTGAGTTGTCTGTCTTGCTCTGTCAGAACCCGGTATGCGTCTGGAGATAATCCCATCATTCCATTATCTGATCCCGCTGCAGAAGGGGGCGTGTGCAGGCACGGCGAGTGGGCTGCACAACACTGCGGACTAGAGGGGCTTGCACTCGGAAGCAGCCTTATCCCAGGAGATAAGCTATTGTCCAGAGAACCGTTCCCCATTTTCCCATGATATCCCATGCTCATAGGGCTGCTTGTGCTATATCCTGGATTGCAGCAAATATTTGGGCAAATGACATTTTGATGGAGCGCTGCACACGGATTCTGTTGAGCCATCTCTGACTGGATTTCCACTCCATGTTTGGGACTCGGTTTATCAATTCCTTGCCAAGAGTTTATTGTATTATATTGGATGGAAGCAGGAAAGCGACAGCTGCAGGCACTGGCTGGACAGCAAGATGGCACTTGGACTGGCACTTGCAGCTCTGGTGGTCTTCTGCAGCTCTGTGGTGAAAAAGCAGAATTGTAGAGGGGTGGCTGAATAACAGCAGGAAGCTGCTTGGAACTGGATGTTGGTGTTCTTCTAACTGCAGGCTCTCCCTGCTGTACGACTTCTTCAGGGTTTAATCCATGTCTTTCCAATGGCTTTTGGAGGTGATGTGCAGCTGTAACTGAGGAAGGCCCGCTACAAGAGGTTGAAGAAGAAGATCCAGAACTTTTTCTTGACTGAGGGCAAGCTTTCTTACACTGCAACTGTTGCTGTGGTAGAGCTTGCTTTCCTCTAGAAGGCTTTAAAGTTGGAATTTTCTGGTTTAAATGGTTTGGTAATTGCCTCAGAGAGACATCTCCCATATTAGTAGAAAAATTTTGCTTGTCTTCAGAGTGCTGGGTGGGGTAACATGTAGATGCCAAGCACCAATTCTTTTTAATAGGCTGAGGAAGTGCTGAGGGTAGACTTTTAACATTTGAAGTCCCCACAGGCTTAGATGGTTGTCCTGATTCTATGAAGCTGCCATCCAAAACAAGTGACAGCTCAGGAACTGAAGGAAAGATCCTGCTAACCTGAAGGGAAAATTACAGAAGCAGGTTTAAGATCATTTTGAAATACTGTCTTTCAGCCCTTCACACACAGAATTCCATCAAAGAAAATGTTTTAATTTAAAATCAATATATGACCATTACTAGCTCCAAACCAGCTACACAATTTCTAAATATTAGAGAATCTAAATACAGAAAAAGCAGCAATATCTCTAGGATCATTCTTAGAAGACAAAATTGCTTTCACACAGCATAATAGCCCTATCTATCAAAGGAATGCTCCAGGATGACATTTCAGAGTATGGATCTTTCCCTTCAAGAAGCAGACTACATGTTCCCTCCTACTATTCTTAGACCTAGCAAATAGGTGCAACAGCACATACTTTATAATTGACAACTGTGACATCTATCTAGACCCATGCTGCACGAAGGCTGCTACTTCATCATATTTGTATATGCTTCAGTAAAGAAAGACAGGCCAACAAATCTATTTCATTGACCTAGAACTACAGAGGACTGCTGCCTCTATCTTTGTGTCAGACACCACAGCTTTTCCATTTAATGGTAGCAAGATTCCCAAATTAAAACTTACTCTGTTCCCAAATCCAGCATATACAGGAATTCAAGCATCTGCAATCTTGGAAAAAAAGCTGGATTAACTAAAGCAGACTTGGGACTCTTGATCCATTTCTTCAGTTCTGCTTTCCCCAGCTAGCATCTTGAGACAGAGGCTTTACACTCTCAAGTCCCCTTAGAATGAGTTTTGCTACTTTATTACATCTGAGTTGCCTAGAATAATTATTTACTTAGTTACCTGTTGACTCGCTGGATGAGGACTTGGAATTGGTCTGGGGGATAAATCCTCATCTTCTACACCAGAGTCATGATCACTTGCTGACAACTTGCTGGGTGAACTGCCTTGAGGAGGACTAAAACCAACATAAATCAAACTAAAAATGCTTGCTTGTCAGATTTGGCAGCAATAACACGAATCTTCCCGTTTTCCACTGTGCCATCTACAGTGCAATATCAGCATAGTTTTTCAAGAAGCAGTTGCTATACACCTCCTCCCTGGTTAGTCAGGGAGTTCACACAGCAAACAGTTCTAAGATCAAACAGTAAAAATACAAATACTGGGTTTCAGCAAAAAAAGCTACCAACTCTCCCTCCTCACACTCTCTGACATACACACAATTCAAATGACATTCTAACAGCAAAGCACTGGTTTATGTTAGAAACATAATGAGTGCTACAGCAAAGAAAATAAAGGCCATCTTATAGTCACAGATAAAAGTTTGCTGGGTGAGGTTCTTCAAAACCTCTAAGTTTCAACCTGCCAAGGTCTTGCAGCTCTGAGAAGTCAGAAGGAAAAAGGAATTTTTACCAACTTAAGTAGATTTCAGTTAGAGGTTTGCTTCAAATGATACTATCACATAAAATAATACAGTGAACTAAGCTCCATCAGTAAGGAAGCCTTTTTGGAAACATTCACTGTAGAAGTTACAAGCATTAGTAACAAGAGCAGAACTATGAGTAGTTTCTCTTGGAGTATGGTCAGCTTGACCATCTTACTTGAAAAATATTAGCTCTAGGAATAAAGGACATACACCAGTTTTAATGCAAGAAGATCACTGCATGCACAGCACATGTCCAAAACATATCATCCAATAAATATTTAATTTTTGCACATAAATTACATCCAAAAGATTTACCTTCTGATAGGAAGTTTCTTGCAAATTCTGCTGAAGAACTCAGTTTCTGCATTTTGATTTTCTGCACTCAACTCAAACTGAATAAAGCTCTTGTCTGAAGGTTCAACATTCTGGAATGAAATTTTCTGTATTTGTGAAACATGAAACTTTCAACTTCCAAGCACTGAGGTACTACCCCCAAAGAAAGAGTTTTAAGGACATTTATATCTGATTATTTGCTGCTTGTCCTCTACTTTCAATTCTTCCACTACTAAAAGGAGATGGGCAACTTCCCTTCCTTTCCACAGTTCCCCCTGCCACTCTGTAAAGTAGCTGAACTAATTATAGCCATGAGCAGATGCTTCCTTGCTGTAACTGCTTAGATACTCTTCCACGAGCCTTTACCACTACAGCAAAGAGTGACTGTTCCTGCACCATTTCGCCCACCACAGCTGGGTAAATCCAGCAGACAACACAAGTGAGCCTCTGTTAAGATGCCAGTCGTCATCTTCACGGAGCTAAGCTGTACCTGGGCTAGAGGAGGAAGGCAGCCCCGAACTGGGGTGTTTAATTGGAAAGAGAACAGATTAAACACCACAGGACACACATTGCACTGGCTGCTTTTCTGCCAGAGCACAGGAGCATTTATTGAGTAGATTAACAATTCAACTTCAGGTTCCACACAAGCCTAGGAAAACAAGGAACTGAAATTCCCTAGAATCTCCTCAAGCCTTCTTAGTTATCTCCTAGCAAATTTTTTTCAAAGAGTCTTTGCACAAAGGTAAAATTGTTTCTGCTTTGTTACCTCGGTGCAGCAAGTGATCTGCAGATTAGTAACCACTGAATTCCCTTTCGCATTCAGCTTCAAGCAAAGCGCAAGTACCCAAGCTTTGCTCTCCAGAAGGCACTGGTGTGCATCACCCACAGCAGTTGTTAGATGTGCCCAGAATGCACACAGTTTACCAGATTAACAAATGCTAGAGGAAATAAGAATCTCTGCTCGTAAAGCCAGAAGGTCACTAGTAAGGAGGAGCACTAACCTAACCCAACATAGCACAGTGTACTTTAAAAGACAGATTCTTAATGCTATTAGAAAACTGACTTTGGAAGTCAGTTGGAGACAAACTAAACTTACAGTAATCACTGTGAAAAGAGCTACAAACACCATAGTCCTGTTTGGGTTATGTTAGAGGGACTCCTCCCACAAGTACTTATATTAAAAGTAAAAAATTTGCAAGTACCACAATGCAGGAGGAATCCAAGCCACTTACTTTGAAGAGGTGCATTGTTTCACTGGAAGTTAAGATCTGAAACCCTAGTTCAGTCTGTCCACTGCACGGAACGCACTCATAGAACTCTGGTGCCTTGTGTGTCAACGAATAAAGCAGAATAAGAAAGCTCCCAGATTCTGAAAAAACCCTAAAAAAGAAAACTCACATCTTAAAAAAATAAAAAACTTAAAAAGAAGGCCCTTAGTTTCTTAATATACTAAGCAAACCATCACACAAACACGTTCATCACTACATTTTGAGTGGTACTGAGCTATTCACAGGACAAAAGGACTTACAACTGATGCCACATGCAACTATCAAAGCAAAAAACGTGGGAATAAGTAATCTAATTTCTAGTCCAAACCTCTAAGATCACTTTGTACTTTAAATTATTCCTGGAAGACTTCAACTCTAGCATAGAAGAAAGCATTTGTAAAAATGATATTGCAATTTATTTTTTTTTAATAATGTAATTGAAGATATATTATAAGGACACTAAGTGTTTCACTTATCCTTTAAACATTCCAAAAATTAGCAAAGAGAATTTTTCTGAAAGATTATATTGAAGTTTCTTTTTTACAGGTTAAGAACGGGGAGTAAAAACAGCCTGCATTTAACACAAAACATCAGGGATAATGAAAATAATGTGTATTTCCAGGAATAGGCAGTACTACTATTAGAATATTTTTTTCCTTTTATAGCACTTGAAATACACTTGTCCATGTGTGGGAGTAGTTTGTTCTTTCTTTAAATGGGATAGAGAAAGTAGCAGGAACAAGATGTTTGAAAAACACATTCACACACAACTTTAAAATTTTACTTACCATTTAAGAGTTAAAAACGTATGATGCACAGATTAAGAAGTTGGCCTGCAGAGGTTAATTCTGTTTACATGGTTCATCAAATCTGTCTAATCCACTTCCAAGATGGAATCAGTGAAAGTTAATGAGAGCCAAGCATCTAACTTGCCTATCTAATAATCTAATTGGGCTCTTATCTGTATTTGGGCATAGTTAAATTGTTAGGGGAAAAAAGTCTATTCTGTGATTACAGACACATCTGTTCAACAAATGTGGGTTTATTTCATAATTTAAAAGCATGTGTGGTTGAGCAGAAGAAATTCTTACATGTACAGCATGTTTTGAAGTTTCATTTACCTGAAAAGCAGTTTTAAACTATTAAGACCTGAATTCCCTCCCAGCTTCCATATAAATAGACTATGGTAAGTGTCAGAAGTGAAAAGATGTGGAGAAGGAGGAATAATTATCTACTAATATCACAATGATAAAAATCAGAACGCAAAGAACTACAAAACCAGAATAATTAGCAGGAAATCCTAAGACAGTGTTAATTGCAAATGAATATGCTTCAATATGCTGGTCAGATACAATCAGGTCACATACAATTTATGTCAGAGAAGACACCTGTAAGAAAAGTTTGAATCCAAAACCAAACCCAAAACTGTTTAAATTACTGTTTCCTGCTTGCTGCTTCTTTATTTAAACTGAAGTGCAGTGACCCTAATGACATTAATGTTTACCCTCTTCTGCCTTTGAGCTATCAACCCAGCTTTAATGCTTCAGTCATAAAAAGTTTGTGAGACAAAAGTCAAAACCAGAAGGAAAAATTAGAACACAGCCTTACCCCCTATATAAATCATAGAATCCCCCCAAATATCTTCAAACAGAGCCCATGTTGCCATGCAGTTCTGTGGAATACAGATTCAGGTAGACAATAGCTTTTATTTTGTAGAAAAAAAAAGTGACTTGCCTTTCTTGAATCAAAGAACTGAATAAATACCGCAAACAACAGGCCCAAACTTGAGGACTACAAATATGAGTAACTCCACTCAGCCAACTAGAAGCAAGAAGAAATAGCCAATTAGGCACATTTCCATTACCAAGTTTCCACTACGTAAATCCCTCAAACACAGTTTCAAATCAGTGCGTATTAATCTGTACAAACAGAGCCAAACACTCACACTCCAACTAACGGCAGAGCATAAGCCTTGGGATCAGACTCGAGCAGCAAAAGCAATTTTCGTGTCTGGTCCATAGTAAGGTAGCTGAAAGAAAGCAGAAGTTGGGTTTTTTTCAGAAGGTAATCAAAACAAAGGCAATCAGAAAAAAAAATAAGCCATTAAAAACACAAATATAAATTTAGAAAATACTGAGAGAAAAAAAGTCTGGAAATCCAGAAACAAATCCAGAAGTACAAGTCATGTTAAAATTTGAAGACTAACTCTCAGAGAGGCATTCACAAGTTTTCTCTCCAAATGCATTGACATTCAGTTGCTTCAAATTGTTTCGCCAGTCTATCCTTAGTTCATTCTGTGAACTGGTTATCAGTCAGAATGATGATTCCTCAACACCATCTTTTGCACACAATTAACAGAAAAAACTTTGGTTCATATTCATATCAATTTCCTTTTGGGGCAAACACTGATATTCTTTAAACAGCTGGATGCTGTTTGTATTCATTATGTTAACTAGAGGTGTGTCCCCTTGCCCTGGTAGGAAAAACCTTCTACCGAAGTCAAAAACAAGAACTTCTACTGAATCTGTGAAGATTTTTGACCCACTCCATTTCCTCTTTCTTGTTTATAATGTTTTAATTTTTTCCAAGTGCAAGGAGTTAAGTTATTTTTATGCCAGTTATTTTACCGGTTGAGATGTGACCTACCTACCTGCTTTAGGAAATGTCACAAACCACCATGCAACTTTGATGGCTTTTGACATTACCCTTTACTTACCCACATTTATAGGTTCCTTGAACTTGTGCAATACTCATGGGACTGTTCAAATTTCTTGCAAGGGCTGTGGGAATAATGGGGACAGACTTCACAGGGGTGTATTCCAAGATATTTGCTACAGTAATAGAAGCCCAGTGAAAGCTGAAATGTAGATTATCCAGGTTTTCTGTGAAAACAATGTGAGCTCTAACAGTGAGGAGTTTAGAAAGATCCAGGGATTCTTTACTGCACAGGCTGTGCTGCAGACCCTAGAAGTAGGGAAAAAAGTTAAATACATTAGATTGTGTTCGTAAGACTACCATGATTCAATTTTTATCACACTGAGAACTCAAATCATTCATCACAGCGACTATTGCAATGGGCACAGCATAAAAAGCCATTATCTCAGGTCTCCAAAGCTCATTGGCTATACTGAACATAACGAATAACATAAAATACACTTGAAATTGAGCTGTGCATATTTTAGCATTGTTTTATGATGTATTCGAAAACCTAGGGTTACTTAAATTGTATGAAAATCAATAAAATGATAGGCAACTAGAACACTCAAGGTGATCTGTCAAAGTTTTCTTACTTGCACTCAACAAACTACCTTTACAACATCGGAACACATCATCATGGGACAGTTTAGATGTGAAGTAAGCATTATTTGTATTATAAAATACACACAACAACCACAATAGGCAAATGTTTAAAGGAATGGGATGTGTATTTACTGGGTTATATGTCTACAGCAGAGCACAGACGCAACAGGCACACATTTCACCTGAAACCACTCATCTATATAGACTTCCTATGCTTTCTTGCAAGGCACTCACCTAGCAATACTTTATCAACAATCGTGCAAATACTGCGATGTCTTTACAACGGATTTGAAAGAAAGAGCTATTTTTTCTTGTCTAAGTACATTTGCTGCAATCATTCTTGTCTTGCTGGTTTTGGTGGTCAGACCAGCTGAAAAAACTTTGGTCAGACAGAGAGATCTTAGTCTGAGATTAATGACTGTGTCATCCTGAAACACCTGTGACTACTAACCAATTTAAATAGTTTCTGAGATGCTTTTCAGTGGCAGAGGGGCAGCTCATTTCACACAACCAACTAGTCTTGCTTCAGCCACAACTTTGCTGTGTTTGAAAATGACGGCGACTGGAAATCAAACCCCGTGCATAGGCCCACCTCTTGCCTATGGAAGACAGTTTATTGTGAAAGAGACCCAAAAGCTGCCCACCTTGAAAGCCAAGCCAACGTCTTCAGCACTGTGCACTATAATATTATCTGAAGAAGGTCCCCAGGCATTAACTGTACATGGAATCAAAAAGTCTCCAGGAAGCGATGCAGTTGGAATTTTGCCCGATCCACCAGCAACGCCTCGACCAGGATCAAAGCGGTCTATTGTTAGCGTTACACCTTCCCCATCTTTAAAGTAAATAAATAAAGTTAGAGTCCAAGAGCAACAACTTAGGCTCCTCGATAACAACTTACTTAACTGACAACATTTGTCTACCTGATGTTTAAAGTTACCTTCATCTACTGCAAGAGTGCCAAGCAAAAAACAGGAAAATAATTTTTCATTCTGCTTAGCATGGCGATAGGCAAGTCGCAAGGTTTTCTCCATCATAGATAACTTTGGGTTTCTAAAAAGAGACAATAAGCAAGTTTAAGACCCAAATTACTTTAATTTCTTTTTTTTAAATGTATTTATTACATCACAATAGCTTCCACATATTTTTGTCTTTTAAAAAGGAAATATATGGAAATAGCCCAAGGTCCTAAACATCAAAAAGGCAATGATTAACAACACTGTATAAAATGTCACTGGAATTTTAGCTCCTGCTCTGTACAGCACCCCAACTATTCGTACTCAAGAAAGCCGTATTTTAGCTGGAACAGCTCCACAGAATGCTCTGTACAATCTTCTCAACAAGAATATTTTGACTTGACTAGTCCAGCAAACCAGCATCTGAGGGGAAACAATTTTTCCTATGGAGCATAAACACCAAGGCGATAGAAGAGTTTTGGGTTGGCTTTATTTTTAATGGAGCATAAGTAACAAGGAAAGGGAAAAGCTTCTTTATCCCAAAGGCAACACTATCTAAAGAACTAGAGATGAACACAAGTGAATTGCTTTAATAGAAGGTGGAAAAGTTAGAAACAGGCCAAAAAGCTTACTAATTTTTATGTGGTCATCTCATCTTAGCACAATATATAACACATACTGGGCTGAATGACACAGGACTGCAAGTATGGAGAAAGATAAGGCAATTATAAAATCCTATATACTGAAAAAGTATTAACTTTGGAATCTACAGCAGTAAATACAGCAACATTATTTTAGCTTGAGACAGTGTATCTGATTTTGACTTGGAAAGAGGTCAAAGTTGAAACTGAAGCTACTTGTTTATGTCAATACTGTTACGGGTTAATATCCCATCTATTCAAGAACAACTAAGTGAAATGCCTCCATCAAAATAAGAGCAATTTATTTTTTGAATCTCTGTTAAAACTTGGAGGTTTTAATAGCAACTCAAAGAACATTACGTAGAAAGACAATTAGAGGCCTCTCTGACCTGCACATAAGGGCTGTTCAACCTTATGCGCACACATATGCACATATTTCCTCTAATAACTACAGTAAATCATTTTTTTTGTAATATCTTTAAGCAAGGATCAATTTTTACTCTTTGTTTGTTTTACAAGTCAAGTTTGGAATACTCTGCCCTAGAAATTCACAAGTGCTTCAGATTTACCTCTAGACTCATTCTGAACAACAACACATCTGAACTTTTGGCATTTTAATCCATATTCCTGAGGCAAGCAAAATGCTTAAAGCTTTACTTGAAGCTATTGTCTGTATCCAATGTGTCAAAAAACACCCTTCTTCTCTCCAAATATTTAGATAAAATGAAAAACACATTAAAGAAAACTACAAGAATGCAGTTACTTTCACATCTTTCTATGTGGGAAGGAAATTGAAAGAAACTGTACCTTACTGCAGACCGAGGCACCTCCAGCCCACTTGACTGCATTACACCTACGAAAGGGAAACTCTCAAATCTTTCCAATGAAAATCCCTGCATACTCATACCAAACACACCACTTGTCTCTTTTTCCTTTGTGTCTCAACACACGCTAGACTCAAAAGATAAAATGAGGCTTTGAATCCTGTAATTCCTAATTTACTTTAACGTTTAAGCAGCTTAAAAAAGTTATTCATACCTGTAATAGCTAATGTGTGAGCCAATGATGTCACCCACAGGGATCGGGTCCCAAAGCGCACACTTTGACAGAGGGAAACTGAAAGGGACCATCCTTTCAGGAAAAAATCTGTGAAGAAGATCACGGACATTAGAAAGGAAAATGGATTAAGCTTCATACTTGCAAACATCGTTCATAAAAAGAACAGGAGTAACACTGTACGAAAAACAACAAACAGAATATAAGATATTGGTGCTTTTTCTTTTGTTTCAAGTCCAGGTCAATGAAGCAGAAACTTTGTCCTACGAAGTTGTCAAGGATATGAACTACAAAGTCAACACAAAGCTTTGATTTTCTACACGACACTTCCTTCATGTAATCTTGGAAGATGGGTAGGCCAGATACAAGTGTGCAGATAAAGCTCAAGAAACAGATGCTCTAGATATACTGTAGAAAAGGAAAAGGTTACCAGGCATTAAGAAACTCCCATGGCAAACAGCAGATCTTAGTTTAGAAAATTTAACATTAGATCAGCTTCCAAAAGACCAGTTTAAGTCACTTTTTAAAGTTAGTATTCAATCCACTAAAGCTCTGAAGACTTCTTAAATAACATAGTGCAAAACTTGCAGCCAGATTTCCAAGAGGCTTGAAAAACGCAATCACATAAACTTGTTTACACAAGCAGGACTATGTTTTTTTCAGAGCTGCCTAAACCAAGTGTATTAAGTGAAACACAAAACATTTGTTAGTCCACGTCGTTTGGCAAATACCTGTTTAGCAAATAAAATAAGAATTTCCTCGCAGCTATCAGAAGCAGCCAGGTTCTGCCTGCACTGCCTGACGTTCCCCGGGCAGAACTCTCTACTTCTAAAGGCAGTTTCGCCAGCAGCTCACCCAGCTCGCACGTTTCCAGCGACAGCGAACATGTTCCCACTCATCAAATCAAGCCCTGAAGTTCGGCTTTTAAAAGCAGGAATTCTTTTGAAGTCGAGCACGGGTCAGGGCCGCACGGCAACAGCGCTCTATCAGCAGAGCGGCGCCGGGCCCAGCCTGAGCCCCGGGGCGCTGGGACACCAGCTCTCCCCCTCCCCGCATGGAAGGGCACGGCGGACCCTCCCAGAGGCGGTTTACGCGGACTCGGAGCCAGTACCTCAGATCCGGGCTCG